ATATAAAGGAATGAAGTACAGATGGACATTATACCAGGTGAATCCTGAAAGAACTAAAGTAAGTGACAGAATTCAGCCACCAGAAAAACCACAGATCACATGATTCCATTGATATGCAAAGTCTAGAATGGACAAATTCAGAGGCAGAGGAATGGTGGCTACTTCAGGCTGGAATCGGATATGGAACGTGGGACAGGGAGACACAGCTGGGGCACACGGTTTCTTTTTAAGGTGACAAATAATGCTATAAGGTGACTGTAGTGATGGTTGTGCACAACCTTGTGAGAATACTAAAACCACTGAATTGGGTATTTTAAACAAATGAATTGTATAGTATGTGAGCAATAAATGTTACTAGATAAATGTTATTTAACTAAATGCTGAATGATTCCCAAATGGGTTACCAGTTTTCATAAATAAAACTAACAATATTGTATGGCTCAAACTTAAACTAAAAACTCACTTGTTACATGTCTTAAATTTAAATTTAACTGGACATTCTGTATTTTATCTGGCAGCCCTACTCTCAAATCTCTTATCTCTAACCAAGAACACAATTACCCTCAGTTCTAGATGCATATACTCAAGTATGTCACTGGCAATCCTATTTGATTATGCCCTAAATATCAAATATTAACAACACTAAAATTCCTCTCATTTCCTCTGGAAAGGTAGTCAAAGTATGTAAGAACTGATACCTTAAGGCTCACAGAGATTTCCTGGAGATAATGTGCAGAGCCTTCTCCCAATTTCCACTGGTCCGACATAACCACCACTAGTTGGATCACGGGCAAGAGGATTTTTGGGATGTTAAAGCCACCTCACACATGCTAGTATCAGCCTTTCTCTCAGATTAAAACTGAGCTCCCCTTTCCCAACACTTTGCCACCATGATCTTTGCCCTGGAAATCTCATGCCTTATCCAGTCTCCAGAGTGTATCAATTTGCTTCTTAAAAAAATCTGCTATCTCCACTCTCCTGCTTGAAACCTTCCAATGAATAACTCCAACTGGCTTGTTTTGTACACCTTATGTGATTTTTGAAGCCATTCAAAAATAGGTCTCTGAGCCTGGCATGCTGGTGCACACCTGAATCCCAGCATTTTGGGAGGCTGAGGTATAAATATCACAAGTCCAAGCCTTCTGGGCAACTGAGCAAGACTTTCTCAAAATTTAAACTAAAAAAATTCTTTTTTTAATGGGCTGGGGATGTAGCTCAGTTCAAAGATCCTGGGTTCAGTTTTTAGTACCCAGAAAAGAAAAAAAGAACCTTGTCTTTCTTGTCACACTTTTCTGGCCACACCCTTCCTTAATTGACACATCAGCTAAAAGAGAGCACTCACAAAGGTCATTAGTCACAGCCAGTACCCACTCTGCCTTTCAAATGTCTACATGTTATTCCTCCTCCACAACCTCCCACTATCCCCTTAAATCCTTACCTGAGCAACTCCCACTCAACAAGCAATGTCTAGCGAGAGGCATCTGCTCTTCCAAAGCCCATATCTGAGGCCAGGATTGGGTTACGCACTTTGTGCCTCTTGCAAGAGGCTCTGAATATCATCTGTTGTGCAGTGTTGTAAGTGCCCATCTGGGATACTAGAGACCCCACAGGAAGGGGACTATACCTGCCAGGCTGGATATTTTGGCCCTGATGGTCCATTCAGTGATTGCTATATAGTAACTACTCAATGACACACACACACACACACACACACACACACACACACACAAAAATCAATAATCAAAACTTAAAACCATGAAACTCAATGTTATAATGTATACATACACATATATACACACAATATATATATACACAATATATACATACATACACAGCCACTTAAAAGGGAAGAGAAAAACATATGTAACTATTTAAAAGATAATCACAATAGATATTCTCGGCCTAGAAATGCAACCTAATTGTGAGTTAGGAATGAAAATTTCTTGAAGAAACACTACACATTAATTTAAAAGAAAGACTATGTTTAAGCAAGTCTTTAGGCGACACCTTGTTCTAAATGAACTGTAATCAGGTTACAAAAACATACAGAGCACAACTGAATAAAATTTAAAGTTAAAGAGATCTCAATTGGCAAATGCATAAGAGTAAAAGGTAAATCAGAAATGTTAGGACGTAAAATGCATGCTTCATGATTCCTGTATATTTGCAAAAGTGGTCAAAAATATGGCCCTACACTCAGTGGTCTTCTAGGACATCCCTGGATCAATGGTGCAAACCATGGCACCTAGTCCTGCCACCCTACACACACTACCATTCTTGAAACATGCTGTTTCTTGGATTCTCTCTCAGTACCATCTTCCTCTGATAGTTAACAAAACCTTATGCTCACGGTTGTTGTTATTCAACTTTTTTACCCAAAACTTGTCCTTTTATAAATACTGTGTTTTCAGCTTGCACCCTGCAGATCATCCTGCTTCTCTTCAGGATCAAGCTCAATGCCCCAGGGGCCTGCTGTGCCTGTCACAGGGAGTGTGAGGCCACAACTGCCTCTTCTTAACTATATTTTACATTAGATCTAAAAGTCATAGTAGTTAAAACCATATGATTTACAACTGCCTTTTAAAAATTTATAGACGGTAACGTAGCTATGAAAATTTTGTGTTATGATAAAGTCACATTTTGCGTTCATCCAGCTCTAAATCACGGACGAACAACTTTAAGTTCAGGCAGAAGAGCACAAAACCAAAGCACATTTTGATTCACCCTGAAACAAATCTTTCAGACAAATCCCTTTTGCTTTACCAAGATTTATGTACAAAAGTTGAAAGTATCTATCTTCAACCTTAAAGACAGGCACTTGGAGTACAGTGAAGTGGTTTGTTCCAGCTGTTCAAGGCTACAATCCCATAAGCCTGCCTCCTGGAGGCATGTTAGAAGTTACTATTTGAAACTAACAGAATAGGTCAGTTGAAGGACATTCTTGAAGTCTGCATTTGATCAAAGCTAAGGGCAGGGAAAACTCTACAGACACTGAAAATATACTAAACATATGATATAAAATTACTTCTTAAAATACATTTAAATAGTAATTTCAAAAAAAAACCAGAAGACATTTGGAGCTGAGAATGATAATGCATGCCTGTAATCCCAGCACTCAGGAGGCTGATGCAGAGGATCGCGGCAAATCCAAGGGTAGCCTGGGCTGTATAAACGAGTTGAAGCCAGCCTATGCTACGTGATGAGACCCTGTCTCTAAAAAAGCACACACACATCCCAAAATTGGAACAGTACATGCATTAACTGCGCTAGCTATCTAAATACCAGTAACGGCCATTTATCTGCTTCACTGTTTTTAAGAAACCAGATACCAGTACCCTGCAGAATGCTTCCAACTACTTGTTTCTGACATACGCTTTGGAGGGCATATATGCCTAACATTCAACAGCCAAGGTAACTTAAGAGTTTGTTTTACACATTAGTTCTGGTCTTTTAAGAGAACGAACCATTCCTGTTCTTTTTGGCTCTTCACATGTTATGATAATTAACTTTTCTCTTGATACTTAGTAACGCTTATTGAAGTTTGCCTAATCTATACAGCTATCAAAATTTTTCAGTCTTTACTGTTTTACCTGAAACTTAGGACTTTGCCAACAGACATGCTGGCTTCCACTCTAGGATTTTAAAAAAATGCAATAGAAACCATGAAATGAATCAAATAAACATGCACCCATTATTTTGGTGCACGTCTATTTAATGTTTGTGGGATGATAATATAAATTCAAATAGTACATTTCATTCCATCAAAGAATCAATATGTTAGGTTAAATCTTAGCTATCCAACGTCCATACATTCTACACAAAAATATTTTTACGACTACCTCACCAAGCCAAACTTCATCAACTGTAATCCAAATACCACTTCTAAACCCCCAAAATAACTAAACTGCCTAAACTATTTAGAGCAAAGTGATACCTTGGCAATTACATTATCATGAAAGAACAAATAAAACATTCTAGTCTTAAAACATACTGCCAGGGAAATCCCACATATCAACTTTCACTTCCTGAGAATGGTTACTACTCAAAGCATACAAATTTCAGTAAATTGGAAAATGAGAAAAAAATATAATAATTCTCCTGTTCTATAAAGCAATGCATCTAAGCAGTGGCTTATTTACAAATTCTATAAATCAATTAAAAGTCTCCCATCATGACAGACAACCATAATGAATTTAGCTGGACCAGGAGAGATCCAGATTTCATGGGGGCATAGGTTTCTACCTCCTACAGACTCAGGGAAGACTAAATTTCTTTCAGCTTGAGTTAAATGAGAGAAAATCCAATTCATATTTCCAGAAGCAAAAGAGGCATATTTTCCAGTAAGTTTCTTGTTCTCATGTTCCTATTTTAAGAGTTCTGATCACTCCCAGTGCTTCTATAAGACAAGATCTGGTTCCTGGTGGCTGATCATTTTTATGGCATGATGCTTTACTAAAACAGTCTCCAAAAACTGGTTTTTATTCATGTTTAGCTTCAGTGCACTGTATTTATCTACGAAATACCACTTGGATGGAGTTGGGCCAATACAAGGAAAAGCTTACTAGAATTTCAGTTGACTTTGTTAAAGGAAATTATTTTAAATTAATGTGGCTACTGAACTGCTGCCATTCTTGACCTCAGAAAATTATTCCTTCTAATTTTTGCTGTGAACATTTATTTATTTAAGTTAAATTCCAGCTCATGAATGTTGCCTGAAAGGAGTCTAAACCCTCCCTGCCACCATTTCATATTCTTTTTCTAAACAAGGCCAACCACATGTTTGCTACATTACCACGCACAGCCAGATGATCACCATTAAGTGAAATCATCGATGTATTTTTGGTAGAATCTTTAACAACTTCCACGCCCATCAGTGAAATGGAACAAGGCGGTTTTGTTTTCAGAAAGCAACAATTTGATCTCTGGTTTACTACATGTCGCTCAAAACATTTTTCCATATGTTTTTTTGCAAAGAGAATCTGACATCAGCATTGGTTTACCTTTACCAGTGAATGCAGGCTTTTTTCACCAAACATATCCCACAGGAAGGTCAGGTCTTCCTGGCTATCCACATGTGGCTGCAGCTGGGCTGGCAGAGCGGCCAGCAGCTCATACAGACCTATAAAATGAAAATAAAACACACAGCGTAATCTTAAGAGTGAGCTCATTAATTTCACTGAAGGTGTGTGTAAATGACGGCTGGAACATGTCGTTTTTAGCGGATTTGTGTTCCTGGCCATCAAGTGAAAACACTTCTCCAAAGAAGCAAAGGAAGCTTTCTGATTTTCAAATCCCAAAGAAGTATGTACTCACAGATGAGTTTCTACCTTTCAGGGCTGTCAGCATTCTAGTCATCCAAGTTTACATAACCCAAGACCAAAAATGTGTACAGGTTTTCAAAGAAAGAAGAAAACGCATGCATTCCTTTCCTTAATTGTTATTACATTTCCTTCAGTGTTAGCCAAAGAGTGAAATGAGTCATGAATAGGAAAAACTTCCTTAGAAGAACAGAAAGTTGATAAAGTGGTCCATTAAAAAGGTTTTCTAGTTTCCAAAGAATCTCTACTAACACATAGCTTCAAAACTATTTGCAATTGGTATCCAACATGAAGTTCTGCCAAAGAAGACAAAATAAACCATACATGATCTACATTATTATAATCAACCATTAAAAAAAAAAAAACCTATGTGGAACTGAGGTTAGAGGTGGGGCGCATGGCATTTATCTGATTTCCCTGTGAAAGTTAAGGCAGCAGATGCAGCTCCCGGGCAGCTCCTTGCTAGCTAGAGCCTCCTATGCAGACAGTAGCACAGTGTTCCACAGTAGCGCACCGCTCACGCCCATCCATCTCCATCAAGCCCATCACACTGCTGTCCAAGACATGCTGCAACACTGCTTGCCCAGGACCCTTTGGGGAGGTGACCTGGCAGAAGGCAGTATCAACTCATAGCACATGTTTCACTGTCCAGTGGGATTACATGAGGTAAAAAGGACAACATTCCTTTTATTTCTGTCTGCTGTCTACAAAAACACAGAGACCTCCTGAGAGGGACTGTTGTTATTTCTGCTCTGAATAAGCATTGCTGTTCATCAGAGAGGCAGCTTTATAAGATCCTTACCTAGTGAGTAAGTGATCTGCTGATCACTGATTAGTTTATTATCTTCCTAGAGCATGACCAGACTGCTTATCAGTGATCATTCTCAGCCTAAGAGTTAGGTGTAGAACCTGTGAGATATGACTGAATTTAAACATTCCCAGGACTACATTTAGCCAAAAAAAAAAAAGAAAGAAACACCTAAAATATTCTATTAAACACACATACACATGCACACTCACAATTACATTCTTAAGAGTCTTGGTGCTTCATTTTCTGCTCTTTAAAAACCTGGCATTCTGACTAAATGAGCTTACAGTTATCATTTAATTTTAATGTCCTAAATCAACCTATTTTCTCTATTTATCTATATATCTCTCTAAATATATAGAGAGAGATATGCATACACACACACATAGTGCTCAACAACTGCTGAGATCACTGATTAAAATCAGAAGCTCAAAATGTGACATTATATAAAAACAAAGGTGGGATTACATTATTCTACTACTGATTTTAGGGGCTGCAAACATAATTACCTATGCCTTGTAGTATAACTTAAGAGTTTAAAGAAAGACACGAGCTCCATGGTGATATAACTTACATGGTCTAACTGCTAAGAGAATTAAATGGTTAATACATTAAACAAGTCCTGTCATACAGTAAGTCCTATGCTCCACATGTGATTCACTTGGATTCGGCCACTGTTGTTGTGATCACTGAAAAAAACAAAACAGATCTAGAGTCACACACCTATCAGGTCTACACTTGTAGCAGTTCATGTAATTTATCTGAGTCTTCTCTCTGTCATGTTTAAAAAGAAAAGACAGCCTACATATGTGGTAAAATTGTAGAGAGCTAATTAAACAAACATACATTAATGAGCACACAGAAAACCAGTGAAATCTGGATAAGGTCAATGGTGTATCTTATTATATTTTGTTTTACTGTAACAGAATGCCACAGACTGGGTATTTTTTTGTTTTAATTTTATTAGTACATGTTTATAGTACATGAAATTTACATTCATCTTGCAGACTAGGCACTGGCATATAACACAACTTGTTTGTTTTTTGGTTTTCTGAGACAGGGTCTCACTTTGTAGGTTAAGACTGGCCTTGAACTCACTATGTAGCCCAGGCTGGTCTCAAACTCTCAACGATCCTTCTGACTCAGCCTCCTAAGTGCTGGGAGTACAGATGTGTGCCAGCATACCCCGCTCCAGACTGGATAACTGATAAATGACAGGTTACTTGGCTCACATCTCTGGAGAAAGGCACGGTGCCTGTGCTGACCAGGGATGAGAGCTTTTGGCTATGTCACCCGATGGTGGAAGACAGAGAGCAAGAACTCACTCCTAGAACAAACCTACTGCCCCACTCCTGAGGAAGAGGCCTTGTGAGCCAGGCTTCTATCTAAGTGTGGGAGTGTTTAAAACATGTCTGAACAAGACCCAAGTGACGCACAGACAAAGGTGGTGTCTAAGCCCCTGTACTTCCAAAAGTGGAAGCCATCGTGCAATCACCTCTAGGCTTTGACTCTTACCCTGTCCTCAGTTTTGGGTTGGCACTGCCCTGTCTCTGCTTCCTTGTGACCCAGGCCCAACCTGATGTTGCTATTGTGGGGATTAAGCTTCCGGCAATGAACTCTAGAGGAAGGCACACAGCATGGCAGCCTGCGTCAACGACAGTTCCCCAGTCTGTGTCTCGGAGGCAGCTCTACACCATGTAATTACCAAAGGAAAGTTATTATGGTGGGGTCTGAGAGCTCTCTCCATATCATTTCTTAATAACCTGTGAATTTACTATCATCTGAGAACAAAATGTTAACATAAAAAAAAAACTGGGAACATGGCTGTCATAAGAATTCAGGGGAACAATGGGGCATTTATTCTACGGCTGGCACAGACCAAGCACTTGATAAAAAGCAATATTTTCTTTTCCTTCACATATCTTCCTCCAGAATGAAAATGTCACTTCAGTTCAATGGTTCAAAGTCAAAACATCTTAACCATACAATCTGACTAGATTATAATACCGCATTTGGAAATAAAATCTCCCTCATCTTTTACACATGGAAAGTGTTAACTCAGTACCCAACTATAGCTTAGATTTTGTAGAATAAGCCATATTATGCTTAAATTCTTAAAAAATAACTTTTCTGTTGGTAGAAGCACATAAAGCCTGAGTGTTCTGGTCTCTACTATTTTATGCGGCCTCTATGCAGTCCTAATTCATAGCCACAATTTCTCTTTCTACTGACAATAGCAGCCTTTTCTCTTCAGCTGCCACATCCAGTAACCATAATCAAAGCCAGAAGAGACAGGGCAGTGCCAACCCAAAATCAAAGACAGAGTAAAACCGCCAACAGGCTAGAGGTGTGCGAGGGCAGTCTGAGGGCAGGAAACCAATCACTTCCACTTCAAGAAGTACAGAGACACCATCGTCCATGCATCATCTTGGGTCTGTGTTCAGGCACGGTGTAAACACTCCTACACTTGGTTCCTAGAGTTCCAGGAGTGAGGAACACTATGATACCCAAAGGTCCTGGAGATGCACAGGAGAAAAAGTGAGAGTTGGGATAGCATGAGAGATCTCAAAACTTTTACCCAAACTGTCTTGGTCTGAATAAAAACTAGGATAATGAAAGTTAACCTATGCTCTGCAATCTCTCAAGCTCATGAAGACTTCACTCCAGTAAACACTGGTTGGTAGTTGCTAACCAAACACCATTCAATGCTCTGAAGATCTCAAACAAGAGGAATGCACTCCAAGATCCTCAATGGACCCTGGAAATCACAAACATTCTCAATCCGTATGTATACCATGCTCTTTTCCATACATACTCTTGTGCTTTTGGACCATCACTGTGTTAACTTAGTTTACTGTTCACAAGCACTGCAGTTCCACAACAGGATCTGATAAGTGGGGCCTAATAAGGGATTCACAGGCAGGTGAACGGTATGGATGGACACACTACACCAAGGCATGGCTTACACCCCAGGTGACTTGTGCAAGAGTACCTCACACTACTCAGGAAAGTGCACAACATTAAACTTATGAGTTGTTTATTTCTGGAATCTTCCATTTAATATTTTCAGCCCACAAATGACTGCGGATAATGGAAATCACAGAACGCAAAATCATGGAGAACTACTGTATTCTTTTATAGCAGCACAAAATCAACTAATAGTCTCTTTACAAGCTGCATTCAGAAAAATCAACATTTTCTGAGTTCTTATACCCAGAGCACTATGTAGTTCATCACTGGAGAGACAAAAAAGAATGAAAAACACTGCTATCTTTGCCCCAGAGTTCTTATAATCTTTTGATGACACGGAAGACGATAGTTTAGACAGACAGACAGATGGACAAGCCCATACATAAAACAATCCTTCACATGACGATTTATTTGCCCAAGAGCTACAACATACTTTTTCTAAGTAAATTATGTAATCAGGCTGCCAATTAAATGTATCTAACTTTTAATTCTAATTATAATCTGAACATGTAATTCATTTGTTTAACAATGGTGAGATGTGCATGCCTGATTACAATATTTAAATTATAACTCAATTAGAAACACAGACTTTAAATACCCTGTGAGATAAGACACATATTTTAGGATAGTACAGTATTCAGTTTTCACCTCATTTCTACATTTCGTGCAACCATTTTAGCTAAAATCTTCACAATAAGTTCCCTAATATTAGTGCCATTTTTGGAGTTAATTATATTGTGTCCAGCCCTAGATAAGTTGTTTGAGATACAGAACCTTTTAAATTATGTGTGAGACACTGTCGTTGGGAATCTGTATAAAGCTGATTGATTTTTCAATGGTTCAGTAGCTAGATTTTTAAAAATTTCTACAATGGAACAACTTAGCTACTTTTAAAGTATCTTTAACATTTGCAAGTGTGAAGTCATAACCCTTGCCGAGGATTAGAAAGTCAGAAATATTCTGGAGGTCCATAAAACAGTTATCAAGGTCTGATGATGAGCAGACACCCCTCCCCATGGATGG